CATTTTACATCACACTACTGTTCGCACTCTTTACGAAACTTCTTTGTTCAGATCTATTTCCCTGTCAATGTTCCCATTTTCATTAAAAGGCTTAAGATGACAAAAACAAGATCTTGAAGAATTTCTCAATAATGTGCCTTGGTTATGGTAGGTAAGGAAATGAGAAAATTTTCTCTGTCAAATTCTTTATAACCTCTGAATAGTGGGTGACCCAACAGGTCAAGGGTGGTCTAGTTTAAATTAAATTTATTGCCCTTTGAACCGTGTCTAAATAATATTCCCATCACATAAGTTGTAAATCACATTGAATTACATAATGATTGGACTATTCGTGAGCGTACTTTGTGAAAATTTTCTATTATTATTCTTATTTTACCTAATCCAACCTAAAAAGTTTCTAATTTTAGTTACTTTTATAATAATAAATAATGAATATTCGTGAAAAAAAACAAGAAATAAAGTACTTACCTGGGTATTCTTTTTTTTTTTGCTATTGACTTTCGATGACACTTAACCCTACTTTTTCATACTAATGATACTACTTCACTAAACAATTTTTTATTTAATTATATAATGTACCAAAGAACACAGAATAATAACATGCAAAAGGCAGATAACATGCCATAACTATCAAAATTTTTCTTATTTTTCAACTATGCGGTAAGAGCCACCAAAATTCAACTAAGCTCGTTGACGTGTTTCCTGTGGGAATAAAGTTTGAACTGGAAGCAAAATAGAAACAACCCTATGGTTTCTGCATTCACCTCGGATGTAATGAGTGTAAAGAACAGAAATAAATGTGATATGAATGCTGAAACCCTCTGGTTATTTCTGTTCTTTACACTCATTACATGTGATATGAATGCTGAAACCCTCTGGTTATTTCTATTCTTTTCACTCATTACATTCGAGGTGAATGCTGAAACCCTAGGGCTCACTACAAGTGATATGAATGCTGAAACCCTCTGGTTATTTCTGTTCTTTACACTCATTACGAAACCCTCTGGTTATTTCTGTTCTTTACAAGCATTCATATCACATGTAATGAGTGTAAAGAACAGAAATAACCAGAGGGTTTCAGCATTCATATCACATGTAATGAGTGTAAAGAACAGAAATAACCAGAAGGTTTCAGCATTCATCTCACTTGTAGTGAGAGTAACTTACTTTGTTAGGGTTTGCCAGCAACATGACTTGAGTAATGGCTGCTGGGGGAAGAATAGGGGTTATAAGGTGGTAGATCTGTAGCAGAAGGTGGCTGTAGCTTGATTTTCATCACCTGAAACAATCATTTAAACAAATCTTCAGTTACAAAAATATATATATATTTATATATATATAAGGTAGTTCTTAAAATATAACAAGTCAGTCAGCCCAGAATAGCAGCTGAGCCAGTCCAGGTAGAAAACTTGCTCTATCCAGTACATCCCAAGCACGACATGGTAGTTAAATAATATATATATAAGGTAGTTCTTAAAATATAACAAGTCAGTCAGCCCAGAATAGCAGCTGAGCCAGTCCATGTAGAAAACTTGCTCTATCCAGTACATCCCAAGCACTACATGGTAGTTAAAATATATATATATATATATATAAGGTAGTTCTTAAAATATAACAAGTCAGTCAGCCCAGAATAGCAGCTGAGCCAGTCCAGATAGAAAACTTGCTCTATCCAGTACATCCCAAGCACTACATGGTAGTTAAAATATATATATATATATATATAAGGTAGTTCTTAAAATATAACAAGTCAGTCAGCCCAGAATAGCAGCTGAGCCAGTCCAGGTAGAAAACTTGCTCTATCCAGTACATCCCAAGCACTACATGGTAGTTAAAATATATATATATATATATA